CCTCCTCCTGCTATTTCCCTTCTCCTTTCTTCTTCATGTTATATTCGATCGACCAGGACGGAAAAATAGTATATCTACTGTTCAGTCTTAGTGCCATTTGTGATTCGGCTGGAGGTCGAGGAGGAGGCGGCGGCGGGGGAGGAGGGAGGAGGAGGAGGCGGCGGCGGCGGCGGCGGCGGCGGCGGCGGGGGAGGAGGAGCTCCGGCAGCAGCTCCTGCGGCCATGGCGGATCTCGCGGCACAGGCAGCACTTGCTTGCATGTCGCTGCTGCTCTGACGCACGGCCACCAGGAGCCGGAGAACGACGTGGACAGATTCGAGTGGTACAGGAGGAGGGCAGAGCAGGGAGACCCTGACGCTCAGGTGACGAGGAGAGGAGACTGGCGCGAGGAGGAGAGGTGGAGGAGAGGAGGAGGAGGCTTGCCAAGGGAGGAGGTGGGGGCTCTGAGAGAGAACTGCAGTACAACCTGGGGACTTGTTACGACGAAGGAAGAGGAGTGGACAAGAACGACGGGGAAGCGTTCAAGTGGTTCGCCCGTGCAGCCGAGCAGGGCGACGCGGATGCTCAGTTCTCTCTTGGCGTCTGCTACCACGAGGGCAAGGTGAGGAGAGGAAGAGGAAGGAGGGTCGAGGAGGAGCCCAGGAAGGAGCAGGAGCATGAGGAGGAGGAGGAGGAGGATGCAATGATAGGTGCGGGCAAGTGACAAACAGATGCAGGGAGTGGAAAAGGATGACGCGAAGGCGATCGAATTGTGGACGAAGGCGGCGAATCAGAACAACGAAGACGCTCAGTTCATCCTCGGTTGGAAAGATGCTGCCGCCAACGAAGCGGAAGGATGATAGCACAGCAGCAAACGCGGGAGAGGACTAGAGGGTAGCTGAAGCTCTTGTGCATATGTTAATAGATGAGATGATGAAATAAGATAACGAAAGATAGCAGCTTGTAAAGCATCAAGGAGGAAAAGCTTGGGGAAAAGAAAGCGAACAAGAACTTGTTTGAGATGTATCTCTGTCATATGATAGCCCAGGAAAGTTGCATCTATCTTGTCTGTTTCTCTCCTCTTCTCCAGTGATCTCCTCCTCCTCTTCTCCTCCTCCTCCTCTCCTCCTCTCCTCCTCATCCTCCTCCCTGACATTAGTCCCTAAGCCAACCTTTACCCCGGAATTTCCGGCCGTTGAAACGACTCCTACCGCAACGACTACTACCGCGATGCGTAGGGCCGACGCTGCGGGGAGAGGAGGGCGGAAGGCGTCGACCAAGAGCAGGAAGAAGGTGAGGGAGGGGGCGAGGGAGGGAGGGAGCGAGCGAGCGAGCGAGGGGGCGAGGGAGGGAGGGAGGGAGGGAGCCTGGAGAAGATGGGAAAGAGCGACAAACGCGAAGGGGTCGGGGGTTGTGGAGAGGGAAATAGGAAGAGGAGAAGGCAGAAAGCAGGTGGAGCATTTCGAGGAGAAGGGGAAGGGAGATAGGGAAGGAGGAGGGAGAAAGGGAGCAAGGGGGGTAAGATGTAGCTTATGAGCTGGGTTGAGTGTGAATTTTCAGAGCAAAGCATGGAGGAAGCAGAGCTCTCTGCTAGACTACGAGAACTTTCAGTTTGAGGAGACGAACGACGTGGAAGATCGAGAGGAGGGTAAGAGGAGGGAGAAGGAGCAGGAGTGGGAGACCTTGCAAGCAACGTTGAAGTTGGACAAGGTGAGGAGGAGCTCACGGTGCCGATCAGTCTGAAGACTTCATTGCAAGGTGGAGCATGTCGCTATGCTCAAGGAGTTCTGGGAGGATCTCAGAAGCTCGTCCAAGGCAGAGGAAGAGAGCGCACATGAGGAGGAGGGTAGCAAGCGGTTGACGCCTGACGTTACGAGGAGGGTAGAGGAGCTCGTGCAGCTAATCCCCATGGCTAGCAAAGACTCGACGCTCTTCAAGCTCCTGGCGGAGCTCCGGCGGATCCTGCAAACTGATTCTCACAAGTTTGTCTCTGCCTACCTCCGACTCAAGTTCTTCTCCGACATGAAAGTCTTGCAGCGACTGAGCCAGGTGCACTCAACAGCTGTTTGCTCCTCCTCCCCTCTAACTACTTGCTCCTCCTCCTCCCCTCTATCTACTTGCTCCTCCTCTACCTCTCTATCTACTTGCTCCTCCTCCTCTATCTGCTTGCTCCTCCTCTACCTCCCCTCTATCTACTTGCTCCTCCTCCACCACCTCTCTATCTACTTGCTCCTCCTCCTCTACCTCTCTATCTACTTGCTCCTCCTCCTCTACCTCTCTATCTACTCACTTCTCTACCACCACCTCTCTATCTACTTGCTCTACCACTACCTCTCTATCTACTTGCTCCTCCTTCTCATCCTCTACCTCTCTATCTACTTGCTCCTCCTCTACCTCTCTATCTACTTGCTCCTCCTCCTCTACCTCTCTATCTACTTGCTCCTCCTCATCTACCCGGCACTATCTACTCACTTCTCTACCACTACCTCTCTATCTACTTGCTCCTCCTTCTCTACCACTACCTCTCTATCTACTTGCTCCTCCTCATCTACCCGGCACTATCTGTTTGCTTCTCCTCCCCACATCTACCTGCTGACACTTTTCCGTTCATCCGAGACCATTCTCATTGTGCTGATCTCACTCCAGGCTTTTGTCAAGGGTCTAGAGGAGAAGGAGGAGTCCGAGCTCTTGTGAGAAGCTCCTTCATTGAGTGAGGTTGACTTGAGGTCAGGAGCTCGCCGATCAGGCGCATCATCCCAACAGACAGCAAGGTCTGCATGTTCCCCCCGCACTTCTCCTGCCTGCCTCACAACCTCTGACAGGCTGAGTTGATTCACTTATTCTACATCTTAAGCACGGATAGGTGCTCCTCCTCCTCCTCCTCCTCCTCCTCCTCCTCCTCCTTTTGCTGACGCAGCACCAGGAGCATCGCGCTGCTGCTGTCAGAAACCCCCGAGGTTCTTGACACCTTGGCCTACATCTTGTCGTCCAAGACCTTCAAGGAAGACGTCATGCATCTCGCTCACACGATCTTCTGCCGCCTCCGAGCAGCAAAGGATCGCATGTGGGAGCGAACGGCTATCCGGTCATCCAACCTCTCTACCCTCCACTCCCTCGAGCTTCACGTCCTCGATCGCGCCGCTCCTAGACAAGCCCACAAGGTCGGGGGTGCAGCCATCAGTCGACCGTTGGAGAGAGGCGCAGCTGCAGCTCAGAGACAGTCCAAGGCTGCCTTCCTTCCCAGCAGAACATGACGGGATGAACAGCAGCCGGGCAGGCGAGGCTGTCAAACCAGCTCCACCGCCATCTTCTTGCCTGCCGCGTTCACAGAGCTCAACGCCAACGTGCGCGCCTGATGTCTAGAGAGAACAGGGTCAAGGAGCATGACGCAGAGAGGGAGTGGCGTACAGCTTCCGGCTCAAGCTCTCGATCTCGTCCTCTATTGCTCGCGACTCTTCCTGCAGGAGGAGTGAACGCTCGAAAAAGAAGGAGACGACACGACCTGGAGCAGCTGCTTGTGCGAATCACTCGCCAGTCGGTCTGCATGCACGACCTCGATCTTAGCCGCAACGTTCTAACAGCGTCTATCACTGGCAGCAAGAGAGAAGGAAGGACGAGCAGACCTGGAGGGTGAGCTGCAACCCCTGGTTCTCCTGGGCTAGGCGCTGACACGCGTGCGCCATCTCCTCCTTTTGACTTCGCACAACATTGATTTCCTTCATCCTACCGGAATCGTCACTGTCAGCAGCACCCGGCTCACGTGATCGACGTACAGCGCCATCTTCCGTTGCCGCAGCTTTGACAGGACAGCTTCGAGCCTGCGGGAGCTTCAGCAAATTGCAGCTGCTAGCAAGTCATTTCACTTGGTCGTTCCCTGTTCCAGGTCTTTCATCCTCCTCTCCGCCGCATGACGAGCCTCTTGCACGCTAGGATCCAGATCCCTACGGACAAACACCATCGCTCCCCGTGCCTGCCTTCTCGATCGCTTACCTGAGCTGCCTCTGCTCCAGGTCAGCCTCTTCACGCTCCTGGCATGGCGAGTCAGGGAACAAGAGGAGCACACGCCTGGATCCTGCCTTGAGCAGCATGCTCAGGCTGTGCCTTAGAGCGTCGCACTGTCGTCGCTCGTGGTAGAGAGCATGCTGCAAATTCTGAAACTTGGGCAGAACCTTAACAAACGGTTAGAGCAGGCAGGAGGACGGGAGGTGGTACTTCTTCCGCGCTGTGATAGTTGCGGGGTAGACTTGTTCTTGCCATCGTTGGCCTTCAACGCTTGATTATACTTAAATCAATCGGAACATGTGAGGGAGTACGCAAAAACTGCAGCTTTGTGATTGAATTTAGCGTTTGTTGTCTTGTCTTGATTCTTCTCGCCTCCCTCAATCTTTCCAGTGCTCTGAATGATCTAGTCCTCGACTGCCTCCGGGGTCTCTACTCTCACCTCCCTGAACCAGAATCGTCCTATCCTTCAAATGCCTTATCTCATTTGCTATTTGCTCAGACCAATAAAATCTTGTCTTCACTTTCAGTCAACCTCACAACAACTGAAGATCTGATACGCTCGGTTCTTTTGGTGTTTCTGTCACCCGTTCCCTGTCATGATTCGACTCACTGATATTCTAGCATGATTTTCACCCATGATAATTTCCTCATCGTTCTGCAGTTTGTCAACAAACTCAGCATTCGCTTTGTCATCTCCTTTCACTGGATTAATGAATTCCTTTCTTCCCGCTTCTCATCGAATGTTCTTGTAATTCTGCCGTCTGATCTCCCTTATCTTTGTCACTTCGTCGTGTTCCAATTCTTGTTCCTGATTTCATTCATAGCCAAGATTGAATACTTCTGATGCAGCTCAGTCCTTCACCATCAAGACAGTGTCTCGCTAGCAGCTCTGTTGCTCCTCTTGGTCGCACGATCATATCGATCAGCATGAAACCAATCTTGAAAGGAGCAAATGCATCTAGACGACATCAATCGATTCGGCAAGGATTGACAGAGACAAGTCAGCAAGGGTCTTTCCTTCACTCCTTGTCTTGCTCTTCTTCATCTTCGCTCTCAACGGAATCCCAATTGAAACTTCCAAAGTTTGGACCAATCTTTGGCACTCAAAACTTTCAAACCGAAAGTTCGCTGATAGGTGGTTGTGCGGGGATGAGGCTGTTTTTTTTACCCCGGAAATAGAGTGAACCATTCGGGGAGGTGCAGTTGAGGGGAATAGGGGGTGGGTTAAGGAGATTTGACGGCGCATAGGGGTAGGTAATAAGACGTACCCGTACTTCTCACTCACCAAGTACCACCTATTTTCAATTACATTCGTTGCTTGATGACCATGGACCCCACATTTCCTCTACCACCGTGTCATTGGGGTACCCTACCCAGAAGAGTGTATATAGTGGTGAGGGTAGGGTATACTCAGAATAGCGCCGCTGCCATGTTTGAGTTCCTCGCCACCACCAAGGTAGGCTTCACGAATCGATGAGGGAGAGAAAATGTCAAATGTCAGAAGTACCATTCACATATAAGTTGTATGATTCAAAGGAAGAAAGGAAGAAAGGAGGTGATATCTGCAGAGAATAATTCATGAGACAGTCGATCGAGTTGGTTTTCTTCGTGACAAAAGTGTGTAAATTAAGAGTTCCCGTTGTCACCGTGATGAGAAGGGAATCTCTTCAGTTAGAATACTTACATTTGAGGAGGATACATGAGAAAATCTTGAGCGGTGATCGGATTATTTAATGATTGGAACTCTTGCCTTGTGGTTGTGACTTTTCAAGCTGTCCTTATGTGGCTTCAAGAGTGTTTTTTGTGCAACATTCCTGGAATATCCAATTTTTGGCCTTCCTTGTGCCATCAAAATTATTTTTTATCATAATTTACCCGAGGCTTGTATCATCCTGCTACTACACAATTTGTTGTTTGTGCAGTTTATGGGTGTTCATTGGCGTTGTTTAGATGCTCAAATTGTACTCGTGCAAATATCTAACGAGAAATTTTAGTCTCCTCAGGTCTTCGAGCAGTTGTGGAACCTTACTGGAACCCACATCCACCAAAACCACTCCCTCGGTTCAAGCAGCTATGCTCAGGTACTCCACTTGGTGGCCGTTAACGGTTCTCACTGATCCTGCTTGTAGGGATCTCTCATCCCTGGCGCCAACTACTCCGCTCAGGATGATCATGCTGGCGTGAAGGTTGCGGGATTGTAAAACATTGATTCTTGTGTCATGGCCTGTATGGAACTTTAAGTAAAACAACTCTGTAGAGCTTGTTCGCCTGATGGCGAAAAAACTTGTTCTTGGCTTTATTATATATCTCTTGGTGCGGGACGACACAGTGTGCCTTCAACCAAACATCGTTGCGTTGTGTACATGCGGAGGCTCCAGAATGCTCTTCCTCCCCAGTTCCTGGGAAGCTGTTGTGGGGCTATGAATTTGACCAAGTCTTCTTTGGTATCCGCAAAGCGGAATCTTTCAAACGTTTCCTTAGGAAATAGCGGTTTGGTCAACTTGAAGAGTGATTGCACAGGCTTCGGCACTCCGATAAACACTGTTGAACCAAATGTGGACCATGGATAGTATTGTGATATCACATCGATTCCACCTCGTTTCAGTACACCATCTGGAATTCTAAAGGAAGGCTGAGTGCAGTCGATAATAGTGAGGGCGCTGGCTACTTGATTCTTGGAGTTAGCAAGAACTCTCTCCTGTAGATAGATGGTCTGTGCTCGGATCTGTGCTTCAGTTCCTCTTGGTAAACCATGAGAATAGACAATTGCATTTCCATCCCTGTCATGCAGACTTTCTAAGCACACTGTGAAACCATCCGTACCAAAACCACGAGCACAGTCTGCCATAGAAACCTTTCCGATCTGTCTTCTCCAATTCGCTTTAGCGCGGATCTTTTCAATCGCTGAATCCTCTTCGCGATAGATGGAAATCCATGAGGCTATTTCCTTGTCACCATGAATCCATCTAAGCTCTTCTTGGCTCAGTTTTGATCGCACGGAATCAATCGCACTCTTCGATGGAGTGACTTGTGGCAATAGCAATAACAGAAACGTGCTAGTTACCAAAACGTTTAACGCATTCTGTTGGCATAATTTCTTCAGCAGCATCCGACGATTGTTTCAATCTTGCTCAGCTATATGTGTTGAGGGATCCAAGAAGATGCGAGATCAAGATAAGTGCGATCAAGATGAAGAAGAAGAATGGGAGGGTGACAGAGAGCAGGCGGAGAAGAGGCGGACAAGTGGAGGTTGGGGAAAGCCTCCATCAATAAAAAAAATGAGAGAGTAAAAGATAATAATTATCACTATATTATCCCTGATAAACACACGTGAACCATATGGGGGCGTAGCTCAATTGGTAGAGCGCGCGCTTCGCATGCGCGAGGCACCGGGATCGAAACCCGGCGCTTCCATTTTGCTGAAATTCTGTGTGCTTCCATATCCGTTTTTCATTGAGCCGTCACGAGTCACTGAGTCAGGCTCCAATTAGAGGCTTCAAGTTAGATGAGTACGACTCACTCATCAGTGAGCTTTATTTTTAACTGATCGGGGGAAGGCGCGCGGCGCCGACCGTACCGTTATTCTGAGCCTCGGAGCCCTGGCCGGGCAGAAACTGAACTCCCGGTGATTCATGATTGTCCTCGTAATGATTATTAGCCCTGGCAGAACCTGAACTCAGGGCCTGATTCCTGATTGTCCTCGTACTGATTATTACTGACTCAGTGAGCCCTGGCAGAAAGGCTTACTTTCCAAAGTTCCGTAACTGTACTTGGCCCGGGCCTACCGGGCCGGCTTCGACTCTCACATGCCCTAACCGTGCCCGCCTGGTGACTTTGACTCGCCGGCCAATGATCCCATCTGTGATATTTCGGGGGCTCATGGTACAATGGTACAGAAGTAGACGGCAGTGAGCACAGGGCAAGTCGTGGGGAGGAAGCGAAGTGGGGAAGCGAGCGAGTGGAGCAGTGGTCCAGGGAGGGGGAGCAGTGGTCCAGGGAGGGGGAGCAGTGGTCCAGGGAGGGGGAGCAGTGGTCCAGGGAGGGGGAGCAGTGGTCCAGGGGGGGGGAAGCAGTGGGGAAGAGTTGGGAGGGCGGGCAGTGGAGAGAGCTAGCAGTGATGACTGGGGCTGAGGAGAAGTCACTGTGTCAGAAGGAGTACCGCAGATACAATGAAGGTTGTACAGTAGTAGAGGTGGCGAACGAAGTGAGCTCAAGAAATCATATTGGAAAACCTTTCTCGTGTATAGATTGGTTGAATTCATGCTTGCTTACTTGGTCTGTTGGCAGTATGTTCCAGCTCCTATGGAACGCTATGGTAGACACTGGTAATTAGCTCATCGCTTCATTCATCTTTTGACTCATGCACAGGAAAAGTAGAACCTACTATTGTTCTTGACACAGAAGCACAACATGCTGGGCTGCATCGGGCAAGTTTGTATGATTGTGACACCTACAACGCCAGGCATATTCATTCTGTTTGTAATAAGCAGTAATCAATGAATTTGTTCGTTTTCCTTATCTATTCTTCTTTCAGCATGTCACAACGATTACGCAGGAGTGTGTGGTGCGTACATGCATCCCAGCCCATTTCCTGCATCGTGAGTGAGTGCCGGAAGAAGAACAAAACAGAATCACTTCTACAACAGCTCCATCCCGATCCCATGTTCTGCAGTACAATCTTACAGCCCTTGTGAAATCTTCAACATGGTCACTCGTGTCTGAGCGTCATGTAATCGTCAAACCTGCAAGATGTAGGAGTGTTCTTGCTGGGAAAGTATTCCTTGAGGGAGGTGATGTCACGATGCGCGTTCTGAAGCAACCCACATACCTTGGTACACCTCGAGCACACTGTTGGAGTCTCGACCTCTATTTGTTGGCTTGTCTCGGCTGGATTGCTCATGGCAAGCTCTTGCTCTTCAGGGCGCACGATCGCATCCCTTCATTGAGTAAGCATGGCCGTATCAGTCTTGTCGTAACCTGTACCGATGTGAAGCTTCACGTGTCATCGAGGAATCTCTTTCTCCTGCAGAAGGAATATCACGAGGGCGCTATGTTTGTGGACAAGTACTCTTTCGAATCAGTTCCGCTCTGAGGTCGCACACTACTTTCAGAAGCTTTGCCATGGGTAGCAGTCGGGAGAGACGAGCTTGATTCATCTGCAAGCCTTGCATGTCCTGGGCTACGACTGCTCGTAGTCGTGAGCTCACCTCATCATGGATTCGTCTCACCGTCTACACTCAGCTGCTTTTGTTCTTGACTGGCCGTGAGCTTCTCGATCTGGATGCGAGTCACAGCGAACAAGTGCTGTTGCCTACTTCTTGCTCGCAGACGAACAAGACGACGTCTGGGCGCTACCGCACTATCAGTTCACAGTAGAATAAGGTAGAGGAGAACCGCCGAGTCCAACAGCAGCGACCCCTCACGTTCCTGCAACAGCTAAGCCAACTCAAGCTGCTTGCTCGCTCACTATGAAAGCCTCCGCGCTTGGCAATGACTTCCAGTCTGGGAACAAGTCAGACGATGCCTCTTCCTCACATTATCTGACCCAATAATTGTGTCCTAGCCATCTCTTCCATTCTGATCTGAAGTCGTCGATGCTCTTGCTTCAGCTAGTTCGTCATTCTCAAGGCTTGTATGTTTGACTCGTTTACCGTAACAACGTCGTTTCGAATGTGCTCCAACTCTTTTTCCTTTGACGCCTGCAATCTGGCGTGACGAGCAAGTAAAATATGAGAAAGATAAGAAGAGAACCTTTTGTTGTTTCATCTTCATTGTCAGCTCAAATCTTCTCTGTTGGTAATTCTTGCTGAGTTTTCACATCAGGTGCATTTGGAAGTACTCTGACATACCGTTGGTCCTCCGGCCTCCTTATGCGATGAGCATCTTCCTGGAAGAGGCTCAGGTCGTCATTGAGGTCTTCAGGTCAGGCTGATTCACCTGCTCCTTACAGAGTCTCAGCTTTCGAGAACGAGCGCGAGCAACTGCATCCGCGAGTTCTGCCATGGCTCCACAACTTGTGGAAAAAAAATAAGTCAAAAGCTGTTGCGATCTGTCAATCAATACCGTTTCTTTTAGTTAATTTAGTTAGATAGCTAAAAAAAAGCACCTGATGCGGACCCAGTACAGCGGCCCGGCACTCCAGTCACTTCACAGTGGCGGGGCCGGTGCCAATAGCCAGGGGGCCGTCAAGACATCCCAAGTAGCCAGCAAACGACGAGTTTCCAAGGATGTTTCAAGGTTCAGTCCGATCGTCGGAGATGGGATTTTTCTATTGACATTGCATCGTAGTGTTCCGAGAGTAACTTTAAGGTTCCATAGTGCGCTGAATGGGAGCTACATTGATACACTTTGCCTAACTTGACGAATAAGCACTTGACGTTGCTTCCTCTTGTCGACAGCCGTCTTGTTTTCAAAGAAAGTTGCTGAGCTTGTGAAGATTTTCGATATGCTCTTGCTCCTGCCAAGCCGTCAGGCTCTCAGGGCATGAGGTAAGAACGTGGGGACTGCTGATGGACCTCGAGGTTGGCGATGTGATGCATGCGATGGCCGGTGAAGAAGCTACAAGTCTGTCAAGATAGACTGACGATGAGTGGAGGTCTTGCCTGTTCTTGTCGATTTCCGCCTCCACCTCCATGAGCAAGAGCTTCTTGAGCAGGCATGACGCGAGGTACTCCTGATGCCGTTCAGCTCTTGCACTGCACCGGGCAGGGTCACCTGCTGGATGGCATAGGCGCAGCCATGGGCGTAGAGCTCCTGCGGAGAAGGTCAGCTGACTTGAGTCGCAAGCTGCTCGGGGGGTCACCCGGGCCTCGTTGTTGCTGTTGGTCACAGCCATGAAAGGGACGCCAGCCTCCTTGAGCTTCTCCGCGAGCTGAACCTGCACGAGGGACCCAAGGACCTTCAAGTTAGACCAGCTGCCTTCCTGCAAGAGTTCCCTCAACCTCAGCCTCTTGCCCGTCGACCATGCAGGACACGACCAGCGCTGCGTTGGCGAGGTTGAAAGCCTCCCACGTCTGCCAAGGCGTTGGGTCAGCTGCGGTTGAGCTGATGGCTGGACGTGTCTGACCTCGCGGTTCTCGGGGTCTGCGTACACAGGAAAGATGTTTGTACCCGTGCCTCTGCTGTCAGGTCAGAGACCAACAAGTGCCGGCATCACCCACTCGAGCTCCAGCCCTTCATGGCTAAAGGAGTGCAGCAGTATTTCTGTGTCGTGTCGTGACTGCCATGGATGGCGTCAGATGCTTCATCACGACCACAAGGCATGCAAGCATCGCAAAGAAAAGCAGAAGCGACAAAGATTTAAGATCGGCAAGGAAGGAAGTTGGAACACTCTCAGCCGAAAGAAATGAAAACGAGGGAGAAAAACAAAAGGAAAGATGTTGTGGACTGACGACCTTATCCATGAAACTCATTGACTGCGATCGTTCAAACAGTCAGTAGAGAGAATGAGAGTAGAAGGGGAACAACGCATACAGCTGTAGAGATGTGCTTTGTTGTCGTTTGAGACTGTCCGCAGCCATTCGCTGGAGGGCTTCCAGCAGCGTGCGCGGAGGAATTGAAATCTGACAAATGGTCCATGATCAAGCGATTCTATAGCATGCAGTACCTGCATCCTTGGAATGGCTGGGAGCCTGTGGGTCACTCCCCTCGTCCTCGATGTTGCCTGCCTTGACAAATCAGCAGTGCTGATGGTTTCCCGCACGCCTCCGATCACCCATGGATGGTCTTTCAAGAGCGCAGGAAAGCTCCGCGCTCAAGTCAGCGTACCCTGCTCTCACACGCGGCCGTTACTTGCCCCAGCCTCCAAGATCAAACCTAGGAGCCAACCTATGGCTATCTTGACTTCGGCTCCATGATAAAGTTTCTTGAGCACCTGTGCGCCTTTCAGTTTCCTGCCCTACTTTCTCTCTTTCTTTTGTATCACCACGAAAAGCTCCGGGTCCAGGTCGATCATCACAACATCTTGTCCCTTGTGAGCAGTCGGTCACTCCCTTCCATGTTGTCAATGTCACGGTCCGCACCTTGTGTCGAAAGAATTCTGCTATCTGCTGTCCTGTCTCGTTGAAGCCCAGCTGCCATAATGCTGAGCGCGAACAGCCTGAAGCAGCTCCCTCGGATCACCAGGACGACGTGCTTGTTGAAGCAGAACCCTGACTCCCACTGCGCGTCTCGGCTGCCCAAATGCACTTCGTCAGTCCTACTCTTCCTCCCCGCTATCCTCTTCCTCCTCAAACTCCAACGCAGCTGTCACGTACCGATGAGTCAACCGATCCAAGAACTTCAACCCGCGCAGAAGCTCAAAGATCTGTTCTCACATTACATCCAGCTCTTCATTCTAGCAGGGGGAGCGTTTGCCTGAAATTCTAGCGCTTGACCGGTGCAGGAGAATCCGATAGAGAGTAGAGTAGAGACGATCACGACTGGAGCTTGACGTGAGCGTTGGTGCAACTACATGCAGCTCAGCGCACCTGCAACGATCTCCTGGTCGAAGATTTTCGAGCTCCATGCAAGCGTCGAGATCATGATAGAAAGCTCGCTCATCTGGTGAAGGCATGACGTCATCAGAGGTCAAGGAACTGCATGAGGCACGCCTGGTTCAGAGAGTTTCCAATAAAGAAGAGCGTCCTGGCTTTGAGCCCGATAAGAAACCCCGTGAGCCACACGAAGCCTGCGGAAGATAATTCACGCCCGCCAGTGTGCGATTGGAATTACAGGGAGTGAAGATGATGCCGCAGATTGAAACCAAGAAGGACTTGCCCATAATGTCAGCCAGTCTGTCACCTGAACTCTGCGGTCAGAGCGAGACTTGCGTTTTGAGGGCGCGACCTGTGACGCGGACGTTGATGCATGCCATGAAGAGGAAGATGTAGACGCTGAACGACTTGAATGAGTCGATCTTGCTCTCGATTTGCATGCGCTGAGTGAGCTGGGAAACGCTTAGCCCAGAAATGAAGCTTCCCACCCAGGGGGAGAAGCCGATGAGGGTGCAAATCGCTGCTGTTCCCAGGTTGTACGCAACCGTACCAATAAAGAGCATTTCTCCGTCCTGCTACTAAGTCAAAAGCAGAAGTTGAATCGCGCTCTCAACGGTTTTGACTGACCACGGTGAAGAAGCGGAAAACTCTTTCTAGTGCATATCGTGACAGCAAAGCTATCACAGCTCCCACCGCAAACATTAACCCGATCTGCTTCCCGATCTCAGCTCCAATGTGGCTGTAGAAGTATGCATCGGATTCTGTGGATGGTTCCGTCGCTGAAGATGCGGTGGCGGTGACCTCTCGGCGCGAGGAGCAGTCGCTGCTGTATCGCCTGCTGGCGTCGCAAGATGTCGTCTGCAAGCTCTCAAGGTATGCTTGCAGGAAGGTCATGAAAAGAACGCAGAGGGAGGTAAGCATGAGGGCGACTCCCTGTATCAAGGATCAGAGAAGACATGCACGAAGATGTGCAACGCATGCTCCCGCTCCATACCTTGAGGATCTTACCATGCAGTGTGAGCTCAGAGTGATCAGAGCTGAGTGTGTTGGCGATGATGGTCTGAGAAGGAATGGAGCATGCGACTGCAAACACGAAAATTGTGATTCCTCGATGACTGAGGCCGAGGCCCCCAATGAGGCAGAACATGCCAAGGTTCATCACGAGCATGCAGAGACCGACGATAATGACTATCTTGCGGTACTTGAAGAATGCATGCACGTCCACGGCTGAGCCGATGAAGAACAGAACCAAAACCATCCCCAGTTCCTGCACATGCACAATCACGTCCTGACTGAGCTTCATCTTTTCGTTCAAGCCGGTGCCGCCGACAACTAGACCAACGATCATACAGGGAACAATGCTAGGATGCTTCGCGCGATAGAAGATCAGAGAAAGAGCTCCCAGGGCAAGCATCATCATGCCGATGGGAAACACAATAGGGTCACCACCTCCTGTAACAAGATCATAAGAAAGTCACGAATGCTGTCATCCTTTCTGCATGTTGGAAAGAATGAATGGAAATGGTCGACCTCTCAAGGTATTGCAAATGCTCTACTACAGCATCGACTCTGACAGTTGAACATCACTATGTTTCGAACTTCAAATCTTCTTCCACTCTTTGCTTCTCTTTTCCTCGTTGACTCTCCTCACCTCCTGATCGTCGATCTCCTGCCATGACGGGGGCGGCCAACTGGTCAAAAACAAGCACTGGAAGTAGGGGTGTTTTTGATATCAATCCAGTGAGTATCGGTAGGGTAGGTCCTCCTAGTAGCACACGCGGAAGGTGGATCGGAACGCAACCGGGTCAAACTCCGAATTCCTTCAGGGCTTTTAAACTAGGTGACCGGCCGCGGGCGCAATCCCGTACTCTCATCCAGTGCTTGCTCGAAATATATGGGCCTTTCATCACCTTTGCGCTAACCAAATCAATGGTTGCGAATATTGGAGGCAAGTTGGTGTGGATGCGAACCACTCGAGTCTGAGAGTGGAAGAGAGAAGGAGCTTGAAGAACCACACAAGGCTGATCATCGGATGCTGGTGCTGTTCCAGCAGCTGCTATCGGAGAGAGTCCAGCACTTTCCGATGCTGGGAGTGATAGATCTGATTCTGCTAGTGCCGCAGAAAGTAGTCCAGATTGGAGGAAGGTGATAGCGGATGTAAAGAACAGGATTTTATCCCAAGGTTCCAAGACCACTTACCTGTCAAGTGCGGGAAAGACAGTGAGGCCTGCTGACGGGGGCCGCTCACTGCGGGCCACCGCCTGCAGCCTTGCGGCAGTGCCATGGATTTATCACCATAAAGCTTCTTTGCTAGGTGACGATTTCAAAAAGGAACTGACAGTGCAGCATCAGAATATCGCAATCGACAGGAGATTTATGACGTTGATGACAGAAGCCATACCACCCACTCGCTTCGACGTTTTCAAGGTGGAAAATTTAGGAGAATACGTGGGGTATGTAATGACCACACAAAGCGAGTTGCGATTCAATTCGTATTGTTCGTTACGCGCCGCGATTCGATTCTTGTTCAGGAGATACGGCCACAGTGAACTCTATCAGAAAATGGAGAATGACATTGGAATTTTGTACAAAGGGTTGAACAATACCATTACAGACAGGATTGCACAGCAAGGGGCAAGATAAAGAAGCTCTGCCGTTTGAACTGTATCGATAGATTTGTTCATCATGGATAGTGTGCAGAGAGCCGGAAATTTTGTTTTCAAGGCTTTTTCTAATCCTGTCTTGGAATCTCATGAGTCGCTCTGTTAATGTCGCAGAAATTATGTATCGTCACATGGCTTGGCGAAATGATAGTATCATCGCGGCTGATATTTTTACTCCAAGACTGATCAAGGCGGAGAGAAACGAGACCCACGAGCTGTATTTGCGAATCCGACAATTCCAGATATATGTCCAATGCTTGCGGTGGGGATGTACTTGTTGTCAGGTTGGTGATAACAACAAACTATTTCCTGGTATTTTGAAATGGTTCTATCAAATGGGGATCAGTCTGACATATGCACAGGTACGAATCAGTATCATAGATTCCTAATGTCTTTGCACCGAACTATGTCGGTACCAGCACAAGGCGAAGGTGAAGAGTCAGAGACATCCAGGAGCTCAACAGATTTGTTATGTTGCTGGAGGAGAGTGTGTATAGAAATGGAAAGGCTGGGGATCAAAGCTGATGAGATAGGAACTCATTCTGTAAGAAAGGTACGATCAATGGCGATCAGCCAAGTTTCTAGTGTGGCACCATTGACTCGAGCTTACTTCAGGTATAGGGCGCTGCCACCTTCGGTGCAAGTGGAAGTACCCAATGCCCACCTGTCGTGGCACTTACAGAAAGAGCTGGGTGGGCAAATAGAGGGGTTTATGATCGATATTTTAAGTTCGAGGCTGCAGGGCTAACCTTCCACCCCACTTTGGTCCTTAGGAGGACAGCTATGTGTGCTTCCCACACATCAGGCAGGAATTTCGAGGTGTAGCGGAACATGCTCCAGCGAATTTGGTTTATCATTGGGACTATTTGCCACGGAAGACTCGATTAGACGAGCATCACCTGATGCTGTGCATTGGTTCGAACAGAAGGGATGCTGGATGAATTAAAGCTTCGAGTCAAGTGTGGGTTGCCTGGTGACGCGAGCATCGAGATGAGAAGTACTGGTTGCCCCCTCATGTCATGCAGAACTTGCATTACAAGACGATTGCACAGGAGGTCAGAGGACTCAAGGAGGAAATGAACAAGATGAAAAAACGCCTCAGGAAGCTTGACGGAAATATTGGTCCTCCCAAACGTCGCCGTCAAACTCGTCAAAATGAGTCGCAAGGAAGTGGCAGTGACAGTGAGCGAGCTGCAGCACGGGACGATGTTCGCCAGATAATGAAGGCCGTTGATAGGATTGATACCAAGATGGACAACATGATGCGGGGTCAGACGAGTGAAAGGATGTACACTCCAAATAATTTACCCAGATCACCTGAGCATCAATGGGAGAACGCATGGATTGCATGGCATTTTGGTAACACTGTGAAGAAGCATCCTGCTTTGAAGGAATACCTGCCCGTTCTTGTCGAAACTTTTTGAAAGATTCATCAGCAAAGAAATGAGGGAATCAGAGAACGGAGATGCAGAACTTGAACGGTGGAGGAATTTTGTAGAAAGACAAACACTGGCTGAAGCTCAACATTGGTTCAAAACATATGACAACAAAGGCTTTTCCCAATTAGTGAGTTCTAAGTCGAAGGCACGTACCAGGAGACAAGGACAATTGAAATGGAATCCATATGTTAGAAAAATGCGAAATTGGAAGAAAAGCGACATCAATGCATTTTTGAATCGTTGATCATCTATGTAATGAAGAAAAAGATACCATATACTGACAGTAGAATTCTGCGACCAGGCGTGGGAGGGCCCAAAGCCAAAGTCACGGCCTCTGGGCGAACCGGAGCTATAACAACAGTGCAGACAGCAATGAGGACAACAATGTTGACTGCGAGAGAAGCGCGCACGAACGTCTTGCACGCATTGTTGCTGTCGCAGCTCCGCGCCTGCGTCATGTTTGCGCAAGTACCCTTCATGCTGACAGAAGGGTGGGGCATGTCTGCCAATAGTCAAGCCATCACAAAAACAAACTTTTTATACAACAGGAACAGTCTAGAGAGGAGGAAGAAAGGAAGTATGAAAGATCTGAAAGGATATGATGTAACCTGAATCAGTGGGGGATAATGTTTGCCGACCTGCCACCGACCATGCAAGACACAATAGGAAAGCTTCGAGACTACGTGGAAGAGACAACTCCGAAGTCAAAACCCGCGTTTCGACCATTTGAAGGGTATGAGCCCACTTGCAAGCTGCACTACCCTAAGTTCTACAAGAGTCTCACAGAAGGCTTCAAGGAGAATGAGGTTTGTCCTGATATCCTTTACCAACTATCATAACTGATTCTCTCCTCTCGTTCTTTCGCAGGGCTTCACTTATCTTCCTTCGGACGCCCCGAACTTTTTCAAGAGCCTGATATCGCATGGAGCTCACTCCAAGACACCAACTCAAAGCAAGTAAAATGCAATGATTAGGATTAGAACATTTCAACATACCCTCGCAACGTACATGATCAACGACGCGTTGTTTCCTTACATTATCTATATGCCTTGCTTCTGTTTGTATACACAATAGAAAGAAAGCAAGACGAACATGCACTAAAACACGCAAATATTTGCTAACATGAAATCTATACTCGTTATCGTTTTCATCAACATCTGCGCTGCCTTCGAGGCGTAAAAGAACAGCTTGCGCTGAGCTCGCATTGATGTGAGTGCAGACACTGTCTATTGCAGTCTTTGGCTCATTCCAGGCACGCACATGCCACTGCAGCGTGGGAAAAGTTAATGTCAAAGATCAGTACGAGGACAATTCCACACAGACAGCATAGAGGCTGATGTGATGTGCGCGCGCTTGACAAAGAGAAATCCTGAGATCATCTGTGCTTGAGAAAGAGCGACCCGAAGTTCATCTGTGCTCGGTGATAGTGTGCGAAAGGTTGTTTATACAACAAACTCTGTCTTCAATGAAAGTTCAGCTCCATGTTAACATGTAGAGCCAGGATGTAAAACCAACAAAGGCAAAGGCAAAGGCAAATCCTGATGTGGTTCCTTGCCTGCAAGGTTTGATCGTTGTGTGGGTGCACTAGTAGTTCACGAATGCACCTCGTGCTCATACTGATTCAATTGGCATGCATTGCAAGAGATGCGGGAGCAGCGGAGACTCTTCTTGTATGCCCTCGCCACAGCAGATACAGCGTGGAAGTATGCAGAACACTGATACAGAGGTTGCTGATCGCCACAGGATTGCCAACGCCTGCAGTAGCAGGAGTTGAAATCTTGTACAGGACTTGCGTTGCAAGAAGTGCAGCTATCATGTATTCAACTGGTGCAGTATCCGAACAGTACAAGTGCAGCCCCAATAGAATAACCGAGTCAATGAGGATGGCAAAATATACTGACAGTAGAATTCCGCGACCCGGCGTGGGAGGGCCCAAAGCCAAAGTCACGGCCTCTGGGCGAACCGGAGCTATAACAACAGTGCAGACAGCAATGAGGACAACAATGTTGACTGCGAGAGAAGCGCGCACGAACGTCTTGCACGCATTGTTGCTGTCGCAGCTCCGCGCCTGCGTCATGTTTGCGCAAGTACCCTTCATGCTGACAGAAGGGTGGGGTTGTAAAGCCATCACAAAAACAAACTTTTTATACAGCCAGACTGTCAGCCAGACTGTCAGCCATAACGACTTTTTCAAGTTTGTCAGCCAGACTGTCAGCCATCACGAGGACTGCTGTGGTTGATCTAAATTAAAAAGAATAATCTTTCCCATCATCCACTTGAGTCAACAGGAACAGTCTAGAGAGGAGGAAGAAAGGAAGTATGAAAGATCTGAAAGGATATGATGTAACCTGAATCAGTGGGGGATAATGTTTGCCGACCTGCCACCGACCATGCAAGACACAATAGGAAAGCTTCGAGACTACGTGGAAGAGACAACTCCGAAGTCAAAACCCGCGTTTCGACCATTTGAAGGGTATGAGCCCACTTGCAAGCTGCACTACCCTAAGTTCTACAAGAGTCTCACAGAAGGCTTCAAGGAGAATGAGGTTTGTCCTGATATCCTTTACCAACTATCATAACTGATCCTCTCCTCTCGTTCTTTCGCAGGGCTTCACTTATCTTCCTTCGGACGCCCCGAACTTTTTCAAGAGCCTGATATCGCATGGAGCTCACTCCAAGACACCAACTCAAAGCAAGTAAAATGCAATGATTAGGATTAGAACATTTCAACATACCCTCGCAACGTACATGATCAACGACGCGTTGTTTCCTTACATTATCTATATGCCTTGCTTCTGTTTGTATACTCAATAGAAAGAAAGCAAGACGAACATGCACTAAAACACGCAAATATTTGCTAACATGAAATCTATACTCGTTATCGTTTTCATCAACATCTGCGCTGCCTTCGAGGCGTAAAAGAACAGCTTGCGCTGAGCTCGCATTGATGTGAGTGCAGACACTGTCTATTGCAGTCTTTGGCTCATTCCAGGCACGCACATGCCACTGCAGCGTGGGAAAAGTTAATGTCAAAGATCAGTACGAGGACAATACCACACAGACAGCATAGAGGCTGATGTGATGTGCGCGCGCTTGACAAAGAGAAATCCTGAGATCATCTGTGCTTGAGAAAGAGCGACCCGAAGTTCATCTGTGCTCGGTGATAGTGTGCGAAAGGTTGTTTATACAACAAACTCTGTCTTCAATGAAAGTTCAGCTCCATGTTAACATGTAGAGCCAGGATGTAAAACCAACAAAGGCAAAGGCAAAGGCAAATCCTGATGTGGTTCCTTGCCTGCAAGGTTTGATCGTTGTGTGGGTGCACTAGTAGTTCACGAATGCACCTCGTGCTCATACTGATTCAATTGGCATGCATTGCAAGAGATGCGGGAGCAGCGGAGACTCTTCTTGTATGCCCTCGCCACAGCAGATACAGCGTGGAAGTATGCAGAACACTGATACAGAGGTTGCTGATCGCCACAGGATTGCCAACGCCTGCAGTAGCAGGAGTTGAAATCTTGTACAGGACTTGCGTTGCAAGAAGTGCAGCTATCATGTATTCAACTGGTGCAGTATCCGAACAGTACAAGTGCAGCCCCAATAGAATAACCGAGTCAATGAGGATGGCAAAATATACTGACAGTAGAATTCCGCGACCCGGCGTGGGAGGGCCCAAAGCCAAAGTCACGGCCTCTGGGCGAACCGGAGCTATAACAACAGTGCAGACAGCAATGAGGACAACAATGTTGACTGCGAGAGAAGCGCGCACGAACGTCTTGCACGCATTGTTGCTGTCGCAGCTCCGCGCCTGCGTCATGTTTGCGCAAGTACCCTTCATGCTGACAGAAGGGTGGGGTTGTAAAGCCATCACAAAAACAAACTTTTTATACAGCCAGACTGTCAGCCAGACTGTCAGCCATAACGACTTTTTCAAGTTTGTCAGCCAGACTGTCAGCCATCACGAGGACTGCTGTGGTTGATCTAAATTAAAAAGAATAATCTTTCCCATCATCCACAGGAACAGTCTAGAGAGGAGGAAGAAAGGAAGTATGAAAGATCTGAAAGGATATGATGTAACCTGAATCAGTGGGGGATAATGTTTGCCGACCTGCCACCGACCATGCAAGACACAATAGGAAAGCTTCGAGACTACGTGGAAGAGACAACTCCGAAGTCAAAACCCGCGTTTCGACCATTTGAAGGGTATGAGCCCACTTGCAAGCTGCACTACCCTAAGTTCTACAAGAGTCTCACAGA